GGGGTGGGGGGGGGGGGGGGGCTGTGTGTGTGTCTGTGTGTGAGGCACCATATTTCCAGCATGAATGGATCTGCGCTCTGATTGGCTGTCTGACTCTGCTCTCTCTTAAGTGTGTCTCGAGTACCATGCGGAGCCCCAATCGGCCCCTCCAGCATAAAGCCTCGTACCGCCGCAGTCTGGGTGACGCGGTTCACAAACACACAAACACTGCTGATATCCGTTAAAACAACATCATTCACTGTGAGAGTCATCGCTGATTAACAATCCTCATTGCTGTCAACATCAACCACATGCACCACACACACACACACACAAACACACACACACACACACACACACACACACTCAGCATGTTTAATTATCACACACACACACACTCAGCATGTATAATTATCACACACACACAGACACACACACACACACACACAGACACACACACACACACTCACTCACACACACACACACACACACACACTGACTCACTCACACGCTCACGCTCACACGCACACACACACTGACTCGCTCACGCTCACACGCACACACACTCACACACGCTCACGCTCACACGCACACACACTCACTCACTCTCACACTCTCACACACACACACACACAATTATTATATGATGCAATCAAACTTATAGCAAAATGTGGTAGTTCTGTATGTTGTTTCAGGGTATTTGTAATTTTTTTATTTTGTTTTTATTTTAATTTTTAGTTAAAATGTTTTACCAAATTTTTCTAAATATGTCTATAGTTTTTTAATGATTTTTTATTTTATTTTTATTAACATTTTGAATTATTTTGAATTTTTATATTTTATGTTTTCATTTTAATTTGAGTTAAAGTTATAGTGATTTTGTTGTGTTTTTTGTCATTTCATTATTTTTTCTTTTAAATATCTCTGTATAGTTTTTGTTAATTCATTTTTAGTTATTTTATTTTCAGTGTAATTTTAGTATCATTGAGACACTATTATAGTTTTTATTAATATTTAGAATTATCTTTTATTTTTTTTTTTTTTACATTTTAGTTTTAGTAATTTTGTTGTCAGTTTTATTAGTTTGTTTTTTTCAATGTCTATGTAGTTTTCTTTCTTTCTTTTTTTCCCCTCAATTTTATTTGTAGTATATCAAGTTAAACTTAATCAACATGAGAAATGTTGCCTTGGCAATAGCTGAAAAAAAAAAAGTTTAAGTTTTTATTTTTTACATTTAATTTTGTATCAGTTTTGTTTAATTTAAAGTAATAAAGTGTTTTTATGGTTTCAGGTTTAGCAAACGATAATAAGCCTGATTCAGACTGAGACGTTCATCTGTTCATCTGTGTCGTCTCAATGAGAATGTGGGTTAATTTAACAGGGATTTTGAGACTCTGAATCGATATTGTAATTTTTTTATTTTGTTTTTATTTTAATTTTTAGTTAAAATGTTTTACCAAATTTTTCTAAATATGTCTATAGTTTTTTAATGATTTTTTATTTTATTTTTATTAACATTTTGAATTATTTTGAATTTTTATATTTTATGTTTTCATTTTAATTTGAGTTAAAGTTATAGTGATTTTGTTGTGTTTTTTGTCATTTCATTATTTTTTCTTTTAAATATCTCTGTATAGTTTTTGTTAATTCATTTTTAGTTATTTTATTTTCAGAGTAATTTTAGTATCATTGAGACACTATTATAGTTTTTATTAATATTTAGAATTATCTTTTATTTATTTTTTTGTTTACATTTTAGTTTTAGTAATTTTGTTGTCAGTTTTATTAGTTTGTTTTTTTCAATGTCTATGTAGTTTTCTTTCTTTCTTTTTTTCCCCTCAATTTTATTTGTAGTATATCAAGTTAAACTTAATCAACATGAGAAATGTTGCCTTGGCAATAGCTGAAAAAAAAAAA